TAAAAGAACCAGACTATCTCACACAATATCCCTTTCTCAAATTATTTTATTTATTTGATTTGATTTGATTTTTATACCGCCCTTCTCCAACAGGACTCAGGGCGGTGAACAGCCGAGATAAAACATAACATATAAAATTTAAAAGCAGTTTAAAAGACATTAAATAATTTTGGCCCTCAATTTAAAACAACCCAGTTAAAACCAATTTCAAATTAAAACTGAAAGGATGGGATCAAGCCAGCCCGGGCTAGATGAAATAGATGTGTTTTCAGGGCCCGACGAAAAGTCCGGAGGTCTGGTATCGTGCGTATCTCTGGGTTAGGTCATTCCAGAGGGCAGGTGCCATCACAGAGAAGGCTCTCCCCCTGGGGGTCACCAGCCGACATTGTCTGGCTGACGGCACCCTGAGGAAGCCCTCTTTGTGCGAGCAAACTGGCCGGTGGGAGGCTATTGGCGGCAGAAGGCAGTCTCGTAGATAGTTTAGTTTAGTTTAGTTTAGTTTATTTGATTTGTATACTGCCCTACTCCCGAAGGACTCAGGGCGGTGAACAGCCACAAGATAAAAACACATAAATAACAAAATTTAAAAACAGAATAAAACCGAATTAAACAATTTGGCCAAAGACAGATTTAAAACACCCCAATAAATTAAAAACAAATTAAAATTTGTGTTTTAAAAGGGAAAAATTAGGCCAGGCCAGCCTGATGGAATAAAAAGGTTTTAAGAGCGTGGCGGAAGGTGCGTAGATCCGGGATCCTCCGTATCTCCGGGGGGAGCTCATACCAGAAAGTAGGTGCCCCCACAGAGAAGGCTCTCCCCCTGGGGGCTGCCAGTCGACTTTGTTTGGCCGACGGCACCCGGAGGAGCCCCTCTCTATGAGAGCGAACCGGCCAGTGGGAGGCTACTGGTGGCAGCAGGCAGTCTCGTAGATAACTAAGCCATGGAGCGCTTTAAAGGTGGTCACCAACACCTTGAAGCGCACCTGGAAGACCACCAGAAGCCAGTGCAGCTCGCGCAGGAGAGGTGTCACATGGGAGCGCCCCGTTGCTCCCGTAATCACAAATACTAGAACTTTAATTTTATTTTTTTTAATTTATATCCTGTTTTTACTTTTTTTTACAAATAACCCAAGACAGCATACACATGGAACACACCTTCCTCCTCTTATTTTCCTTACAACAATCCTGTGAGGTAAGTTGGGCTGAGAGAAAGTGACTGGCCCAAGCTCACTCAGCTGTTTTCATAGCTAAGCCAAAACTAGAATGTAAAATCTCCCGCTTTCTAGTCTAGTGCCTTAATGACTAGACCACGCTGGCTCTTTACCTCAGATTAACTCATCACATTATGTCACCACTTAATGTTAAAAATTTTTTGAACTTGCTCCTTTTTGTTACTGTCCTTTTCAGACAGGGTATTCAGAATTAGATTTGAGTATAGATTCCAAGTAAGAATTGATTAATGCAGGCTAGATTGGATTTATTATTTCCTGTATTCTAGAATCTTTAACCCTACAAATACATTCCAAAATAACACATTCCTACATCACACTGCTGGCTCATATTTAATTTGAGATCCACAAAGATACCCAGATCCCTTTCACATCCACTGATACTAAGACAAGTCTAGTTGTCTCCAACATCATATACTTTGCCACTTTATACTGCCCTATCCTATCCATTTTCCTATCCAATTACATAATTTTACATTTCTGCCACTTAAATTCCATTTTATTCATTTCAGCCTAGCACATAAATTGTCTAGGTCTTTTTTAAATAACAAATTTAAGCTATATAGGTCTTTTTAAATAGTGAAAAAGCAGAAAGACACTGCTTTACCATACATTATAAACCTAGGAAACAGGTTTTTGTGAATGTTCTAGCATTTTGCAGAACTATTATTAAAAGATTTTTCAGTTCTAACTAAATCAGTCAACTTCCATGTAACTAATGTCTTACACAGGTCTTTGCAAAGACTCCAAAATTCTATTTTCCATATAGCAGCTGACATCAGTCCTGGAACTATGCAACTTTTAAAAAATAGCATTAAATATGCCTAATGAAAACCTGTCAATTATCTTGGACCAAGATTCTATTTCCAGTCTCAGATTCTTGGGACAATTAGAGCTATACTAGTCAGCGTTGTTACTATATACCAGAGCTAAGTAACTGTGTCCTTTGTGGGTTCAAAGCTTATTTGCATTTAAATTGAGGATTCTAGGAAGGACAAGCATATCAGAGAAAATATAAAACCATCACAGTTATCAATATAAAGAATTTAATATGCACTTAATATGCATGCATTTGGGAAAAAAAACATTAAGTCCTGCCTGCAGGCTTAAAATTCTAAAACAAAACATTCATGTGACAACTGAGGTGAAAACAGACGGGAAAGTACCAAGTACATATTTTACCTAAGACAGGAACCAGAGTGAAAGAATAAAATAATTCAGCAAAGCACTAATTAGCTAGACATATGAAAGAAGCAATACCAAGTAATGCATCAAAGAGGGAATCAGAAGTAAGAAGACATTAGTTTTTAATAATTTCTTAATTTGAGATTAAGAAAAGGCCAACTGAATATTTAAGGAAAATTAATTAAGAGGCCACATCAGAAAAACTTAAAAGAGACAATAAATAAACAGAGTATAAATTTGGTATGAAGATTGGCATGGGATGCATAATGGGCCCAAGCAAAAGAAGGAACTGCAACAAGCATGAAATACTTTACTTGTCACCAAATAGTTAAAGCTGCTGAAAGCAATAAGTAAAATAACTAAAACTTACAAACAATAATGATGAATTGACAATAGAAAAACAGACCAATAAATGAACATTACTACAGTCAACATGAATCAGAATGAATTTCTAAATGCTTCTTAATCTCTTTCACAGAGAGAATAAGACTCGGCACTGCAAGTTCCTGACAATAAATTTGTAAAATGTTAGTAGCCATATCATGGATCTGATCATTACAGCTTCATTTGGACAAACTGGAGGGCAAGTGTTTAGATTGTTTATTTGATGTTTAAAGACATCTCATAAGAAGGCCCTAAATATAAAAATCTCCCTCAGGAATACGTGATCAATATTATATATAAATTACATGCATCCCAAAAAAGTGGATAGATTCTTCCCAAGGAACAATACAGTGACATAATATTGTCTTCCTATTTGTATTATTTTTCCAATGCTAGCATACTTAACCACAAATCACCCCTATATTAACTGTGTGTACAAGCCAAGTTTTTTTTGGGGGGGGTATCATATTCTCTTAACTCTTAATCTCTCATTAATAATGAATATGCTCTTGCACCCTGTCAGCCAGATCATTACACAATCCTGCCCTCAATTTCTTCCTTCCCAGGACTCTGCTTATACAAGACAATTTCCATCTCATAAGAGCTTGGGCCTTACAGGCAGGATAATTTTATTAAGATGATTCATTATGACTATTATGCTGTTATGACCAACATGTTTTACTATGTATTTCAAGAGTAATGTTCACTATTCACAAATAGTTTTGACTCTATATTTATAATTAGTAGTTTAATATAATTGTTTTTACAATGAGAAACAAGAATAATAATAAATAAAATGCATGCAGGTAGTCCTCGACTTACCACAATTTATTCAGCGACCATTTGGAATTACAATGATGCCAAACGAAGGGACTTATGACTCTTGCCCAAAGTTACAGTGCCCCAGACACCTGAATAAAATTTTGAATGCCAGGCAACCTGCCTGCTGTTACGACCGACTGCAGTGATGCTGCAGCAGCCTCCCACCTATCTTCCCCCCATCCCGTCCCACTTGGGCTTGCTTCCCACCCTGCAGGGTCCCGTACTTCAGCCATTTATAAATTAAGGCTTCAATCTACAATCTCTGGAAGGGAATCCCTTGGGCAATTGAATAATTGAGAATTCCTAAAGCAGGATTGTTAAGAAAAGGGGGCATGGATCCACTGTAGCCAATATTTTCTCCCCCAACATTGAGAAAAGATTTACAATCTCCCTTCCCCAATGACAAAATGAGAAAATTATTTTCCTGCTCTCTGATATTAGAACCCACTAAATTGGATGCCAGAACTGCTGTTAGGTGTGGTTAACCAGAATATTTGGATAATTGGGAATTCAAGTAATTGAAAGCATTATTTCTAAGAAGTTATACTGATTCTGAATTACACAGTGGATCTAACTGATACAAGTTATTATTAATAAATATAGTTTTATGAACCGAGTGATATAATTCTGAATTATTTAAATTCTACATTTTGCCCTCAGAAAGAAGATCTGTGGTCAGTCTTAACCCTGATGAAAAGTACAGAAATTTCATTTCCATCCTCCCTTTTCCTGCTAGCAATATTTTATAAAGTAATGATTTCATAAAATGCTTTTCTAGAAAATCTCCTAAATTCGAGTGTTAGACCAAGAGTCTAAACCAACTTAATGACACACCTTTATTTTCTTGCATCAAACTTTTGATTGCTTGCTTCTCTGTACTGCAGGAGCATATTTTACATGCCAAAATCCCCCTCTTTATATCTCAAACTATTGGATTCCTTCTTACCTCAAACACAGTATTTGAAAACTCATTAAGATTCAGTGGAAAGACAATGTTACAGATTTGCAAAACTGAATCTATCATGCATTTCAGCATGCAACCTATTTTTTTTTACCAGCCACATTAATTATAGATAAAGCATAACATTGTAAAGTTTTATAATGTTAAAAACTATAAAGTTTAAAGTTTGTAAAGTTTTAAAGAATTCTAAACTGGAAAAATGAATTTTTTTTAATGTTTGGTTTGGCGCGTTAGTCAGGATGCTCTTCTATGATTTGCCATTCCTCATCCCATGTTTTATTTAAATATAAACATACGTTCAGAGAAAAATATCTTGAGAAAACAAAATTTGTGAGAAGAGATTGTATTTTGTTTGGCAAGATGAAAACAACCGTGATCCTGCAAATGAATGTGAAAGTTTAAAAAGACAGGGTGCTTACCCGTGAGCTGGATCCAGGGCAATTGCTCTTGGCTGATCAAGATCTTGCCAGAAAAGAACTTTCCTAGATGTTCCATTGAGATTAGCAACTTCAATCCTATTTGTTTCTGAGTCAGTCCAGTACAATTTTTTCCCAATCCAGTCACATGCCAGGCCATCTGGAGAAAGCAGCCCTGAAACGATGACGCTCTGTACAAGATTCCCACTTTGGTTAAAATAAGTCTGTTTGATAGCTTCTTCGCTCACATCTGTCCAGTAAATAACACTCTGTGAGTAAAGGAAGTCCACTGCAGCAGCATCTTCTAAGCCACTGACTACAACTGTTGCTTCCATCTTCACTCCACCAGCATCCACCAGTCTGACATCTCGACGGTTTGCAAAAAGCAAGAGAGGAGAAGCTTTTAAAAAAGAAGAAAAATAACACTCAATAAAGAGATTGAAAATCTGTATTATCTCATTTACTTCATTAAATGTATCAAATGTACACACAACACTGTGTTTCAAATATGGAATAGTTTGGGAACCTAGAATTGGAAGGATTCACATGAGGATAGATATTAATATATAATAAAAGGATGGTGTTTGCTTAGGTATTATTTCTCTGTTATTCTCAAGCAGCTTAAAATTTCAAAGTAGAATATGCAGAACTGACTAGATCCAATGTTCATTTGTGGCATAAAAACCCCTTACAACTTGCAAGTAAACTCATTTACTGCTAAAATAAGTTTAACACCCCACCCCTAAAGATAGGATCAATCCTACTGTGGGTCACTATGAGTCAGTTACCCAGTTATGAGTCAGTACAAATTGCACTGTCATTTACAAACTAATTTTGCTACACTAGGTCCATATCCATCTTACAGCTGTTTTGATGCCATTGCAGCAAGCACTCTTTATTATTTGTCGCCATAAATAACAATAGGCAGATCTCTTACAATGATCTCCCCCAAATAATACAAAACTATAGTTTGCTATAGTAGTAGCAAAGATTATTTAAAATGTAATAGGACTTCTTGGCACCAACTTTCAATCCTAGGACTGCTTTAGGATGTAATGCAACAACTTCAAAGGGTGCAGAAGGTCTTTAGGACTTTGGGTAGTGGTCATTTCCAATCTCAGCCTTTCTTGGCGATAGTAGAAACTTTTTGCACACAAGCAATTCCTTCTTCACTGACTGGAATAATGTAATTTTTTTAATCCTTTGCAAAATATGCTCAATAAAAATCCTTTGCAAAATATGCTCAATAAAAGCCATAAATCTCATGCTAACCATTAAATTAATACTAATAATAAAGATGAAGAGATATTTCCATTTGTAAAATTGTAATGACCATTTCCAAAGAAATAGCATGCCATACAGTGATCAAATTAATACGAAATAAATTTTATATTTACAATTAATCTTTTTCAAATATGTCTACAGTTCCCATATTTAAGGTATCAGACCACTTGTGGTGATTTCAGTTTTTAAAATATATAATCAAAGACTCAGGCAAAGGAGTAAAAACCGCTCACCAGCATAAGCAATGTAAAGAATATCAATTTTTTATCATTATGAAAATAATAGGAAAGATTAAACCATCTGGCTCTATTATAGATTTCAAAGATAGAAAAGGTTCAGATTAATGCCACCTCACATATTGTGCTTTAAATCAAGTTTCTGCATAGCATTTGAATGAAAACTTCATATTACATATCAAGGTAACAGGAAATGTGGATGTACTCAAAGGGGAAACTCACTCAAAAATAGAAAAATATTGGCCTAAGTACCCATCTTCAGAAAGTTTTTAGTCACCCATTTATCAAATTGCTTTGGGGGAAAGAACCTGAGCTTTCTTTTATTGGCACAGATTCCCAGGAAGGTATATAAATAAATAAATACAATTTCATAAAATGGTAAGGATTCCCTTACATTGAGCTTGAGTAAGAATTTAAGAATACCCAATCTAGGTAGGTCCCAGGCCCATTTTAGTGCAACATTTTGCTTCCCAGAGTGGCCAAGCACACATTTCGGGGGTTCTTGAAAAATATGTAAAATGTGCATTGTTCCTCTGCAAATGGAATGGAAAAACAGTCTAATTCCAATCCAGAAATTACACTGAGTTTTCAAGACAAATAGGCTTTTATAGGTTCTCCATGAATGAATCTAATCTTTTTTCAAAGACAAACAAATCAGTAGCCATAATCATGTCTTGTAATAATAAACTCTACAAAATTAATTGAGTACCATATGAACTGTTTTCTTTTATCTGATCTATATCTTCCTTCCAATTAAATGCCTGTTGGTCCATAATATTTTCTCTAAGTTAAAATTTCTTCAATATTCTACCCATTTGCCATAAGGAAGATAATAATTTTGGCTGCCTTCGTGGGCAATTTTTGTAGTTCTGTTATATCCCTTATCAATTGTAGTGACCAGAACCTTACACAGTGCAGATGTAAATATATTATACAATCATGATGGTGAACCTATGGCACACGTCCCAGAGGTGGCACGCAGAGCCCTCTCTGTGGGCACGTGCACCATTGCCATCTGGTCTTCTGGTTTCTGGTGCACACATGTGTGCCGGCCAGCTGGTCTTCATGAGTGCCGGGGCACCGGAAAATGGCTTGAAAAATGGTCAAAAAACCAGGCCATTTTTCGAGCCTTTTTCAGGCCTTTTTCAGGCCTTTTTCAAGCCGTTTTTGCCCCAAAAAACGGCCATGAAAACAACCCAAAAAACCGCCTGAAAACAGCCTGGAAAATGGCAAAAAACCAGGCATGCGCGCACTGGCCAGCTGGTCTTCGGGTTTCCGGCGCTCCGGCATGCACGCACGCATGCATGCACGTTCCAGTTTGGGCAGTCAGTGCCGAAAAGGTTCGCCATCACTGCTATAGAACATTACAATGTTAACAGACTTGTTTTTATTTCCGATTGATGACCTCTTGCATGTATTTATTTGACTTATATTCTTCCTTTAATTAGAAACATAAGGGAGCATGCATACTGCTCCCTCCTTTTATTTTCTCTCACAACAACCCTGTGAAGCAGATGGTGCTGAGGGAATGAGTGGCTGGCTCAAAGTTACACAAAGATATTTTGTGTAATATCAGCAGAATTTTCCGCTTCTAGTCCAACAATTTAACCAGTATATCACACCAGCTCTCATTTCCCTCTTCACAGTAGTCTCCTCTCCTATTATCCACATCATTTGTATTACTAGAGAAAAAAAATTGGTTGGAAAACCTAAAAGACACTTAAATATGTCAACTCTGGGGAGACAGTACAATTCCTACAGCTGAAAAACAGGAGTAATATCTAAAACTTTTTAACAACTGTACAGTCAAACAAACACCACTCAAACATCCTCAACAGACAAATGCTACTTGGAGAAAATAAAATATGGCAGGTGTGCAGTCTCCATCCAGAAAAGCCACACACACCCTTTTTAAAGGAAATGTAACTAAGACTTAAAACAGTTAGGAAGATTATTTGATACTCAAATGAGAGAAAAAAAAAAAAGGCAGGATGTGGTCTGCTGCAGACAAGACCAAGAATTATGCCTTGGGGAAAATTGCAGATACATGTCTTTATGAACAAACTGCCTATTCAAGCACCATCTCCACTTACACAGATAGCCAAATCTAACAACCGCACTGAAAATTGCAAATTTTTTAAAGATGAAACTGTTGTAACATTATCAGGATGTCTGTTATCATTTTTTATTCAATTACCTGAGTTTTGTTCAATTATGTCCCTAAATACTCAGAGTTATAAATGAAATGGGATATCAATACTTTACTCCAAAGGGATTAGGTGGTCAACAATATTGGTTTTGATAATGAAATAAAGACAGATGTGTTTTTAAAACTGGATAAGCCAAATATATCTCAATGGTGTCAGATACAATTGAGTGAGTTTTTTCCCCTTAACAATGCCTTTAGACATTCTAAAAACGCTCAAACTCAAATCAGCAAGACTAATCTGCCTGTTAAACTGGTGAAGGTAGAATGATACATTCCTGTCTGGAACCACTGATATGGACAGGTGTGCCCAACTTTCATTGTTCTAAAGGCCACAGAGTCTATGAATAGCATGACAGGGATCACCCGCACAGCCCATTTCTGGGCTGTGTATTTCTGCTGAGTTATCTCAGGAAAACATAAATCAAATTCAGTTAATATTTGGCTAATGTGTAGACTGGGATACATAGTCACCGAATAATATTCTATGAAAGTGCGCACAGAAGAGAGGCAATCTGAATCAGTCAAAAGACCAGGAAAGAAAGCCTTTTAAAAAACTACAATAGTTAGGATTGCTGCTCAAAACAACCAAGCTTTGTGTTTTGCACCCACCCCTATTCATTGGCAGCTACTACTGTAAAACACCTGAAATCCATTGATCACCAACTTCAAAAGATAGATTAAACGTTGATTTTCATGCAGTGAGCCTTCATATTTAACCTGAGTTTAAACTTGTCAAGTACTGCCTTGTGAAGAATGGAAAATTATTCCTTTTATCTTGGAGAAGTGTGTGCAAATATAGGGGGAAATTCACCTTGCAAATGTACACAGTGGCTTATTGGGTACTTTTGTCCCTCTGAAGTAAACAAAAACTGTAAGTGGGAAATTAATCCAGGAAACAGTTTAGGAAGCCTGAATTCTTATTCTGGGGTTTTGTTTTGTTTTTTTGTAACCTACCTATCATTATAGCAAGTTATAATTTTGTTATTTAAGCAATGATCAACAAAACATAGAACATAAAAATGGAATGAAAATTCCATGGTTATAACCAACCCAACTGCCCTCTCCACAGCTACCATAGAATATTTTTTTAAAATGACTGAAAAGCAAAAATAAAGTTTTTTTTAAAAAAATGTTAAAATTTGTTGAAGTCTATAGCTGGAATGTAGACTGCATTGACAAAGCTGCCTCAAAGGTGCTTTTCAAAAGGCAACTGGATTTCTTGTTTTTCTTCCCTTGTAAATGTTTTGCTTGTCATTTAAGAAGCTTCTACAGGACAACCATGACCTGAATGATTGAGAACCTCCATAGACATAAAACACAAAGCTATTTTGAACTCTGTTTTGGCAGCTGTATTGGCCTAACCTGCAAGAAACACTAGGACAAAATGGGTAGCTTGCCTATCAGACTATGCCAAATGCAAATAGTGCCCTCATAGCACTACATGGTCCAATCCTGCTAAATACCTTGGGGATTTCTCCTTCATCTAAGAGCTTCTTGTAGTATTAAAACACTACTAGGAATCCTAAAAATAGTAGCCTCTTCTTAATATTAACCCCCATACTGTCTTTTCTTCTAGATTTACAACATTAATTGTATTAAGGCAGAGATTATGCAATACATAATATAAAAAGTATAATCATTTAACATATTTCAGTAAAGGGCAAAAGCTAA